AAAAAAAATCTATAGAAGGTACAAGCACATACGCAAGAGGCAAACACGATTTAGTACTCAAACGATTTATTTATCTGAGTATTACATAACTTTATAAATTCAGTATTCAAGTGGTAATTAATTAATTAAGTATTCAAGTAGTGTTCAAGTCTACGGTGACTAATCTAATAAATTAGCAATAAACAATGGTAATACATAAAACTAATGGTAATATATATCGTGATAAATAAATAAAAGCAAAAATTGAAAAAAGGAGCACTAATTTAGAATATTTCGGTCCATTAAGTGTACATTTTGAAAAATGATAAGTTATTATAAAGTGAGCCCATGCATAATTGTATTTCAGTTTTATGTGAATCAAAAACCTATAAAACTAATAAAATTTCCTGAAAAAGCTTACCATGCTCGATACGAATGGTACCATTGTACAATGTACAGCGACGTTTAATCCATTTTTGCAGCAATCGACCTTTGCGCACATTGCACCAAGCTATCAGGATTTCATTTGCACCCGAATTCTGCTCCGGTCGACCTGGGCAGCGTGAATTAATTTTCGTAGATACTACATGGAATTCGTGGTACCAAATTTTGTCAGTGTTTAAAACTTTGCAATATTTCCCTGAAATTTCAGGACAGCGATTTGGGAGGCAGCCCAAGCCATTTACTTGTTCACGAGTACCACTCACTAATACGCGATGCCCACTAGTCGTTAGCAAAGTGAACAGCATGTGCTACATTTCACTGGATCCTACTTTCTGGTGTGATCACTAATGGTATCACGTTGACTTATTTATTGCAAGAAAAAAAAATCACGATTTTTTACCAATGAAAAAACTGAATATGTGTGTGAGATGGGTAGCATCGCCAACAGCCATGCGCTCCGCAACTGTCTCATAACCAATATTCGTAAAAATTTCATTTTGAAGCTCCAGTGGTCGTGCACCAGTGGTCAAATTTCTGAAATTTCATTCCTTCACACTCAGTAATATACCCGGAACAAAAATGCTATGCATTTTCACAATCACACGTAAAAAAAAATGTTACGGAATGAGAAACAACTGACGCCAGTGCAGCCTTACTACCACCGCCACCATTATTATTATTGTTACTATTATCGTTATCATTATATTATTGCTATCATTATTACCATTATTATTAATAACAATATTATCATTATGCAGTAGTCAAAAGCTGAGAAAAAAAATCGCTCGTTAAATGTTGAAAAAGAAAAATTAGTTGGTCTGCGCCATTTTGCCCATGTATTCGGGTTTTTCTACATTTCATTAACTGTTTTGGCATACGGAATGCATGCCGACCCGGAAACCTATCTCTGTTACTTACCTGATTCTGGAACCACCAACTTGCAAGTACAGGCATTCGAATCCCAGAACTGAGCATATATCTTGCACAGTGGTTTCCAGAGTTACTGGATAAACCAGGGAGCGTGATCCTGCCGGTGCGTATAGCCGAACAAATCCATGGTCTGCTCCGGAATCCAACCATTCTCGTTTACGAGCCTCAGTCAAACGTTCCAGTCTTGCAGACTTCCGTTGTGACTGCAAATATGTAAAGTACCATAGATCTCAAACTTTCTAGAAATTATGTTCGTCCGAGGGAGTTGAAAGTCTCTCCCGCAGGATTTGTGGATTACCGCCCTAACATAAAAACATCACTATTTTGCATTACTGCTTTTTGAATTTTTCATATTTACAGCTCAGAAAGGCAGACAGCCGATATCAACCAACACTGCAAAATGCCTCTTCCAGAAGCTTCTTTGATGTACAAAACCTGCCAAATGAGCTCCATCTCGATGGTCCGATTCGAGAATCTCCGCAGCTATGGAAATTAGGGGAAAGTAACATAAAAAAGATAGAACAGGAAGCTCGACCACACTTTTCTGTGCAGGCACACCAGACGAAAACAGAAAGAGGACCTTCGCGATCGACAGGAAATAGAATCGGTTTGAGAAAAATAGTGTAGGAAAGTGTTCCTGCACACGAGTGTTAAGGAAGATCTGAACAACTACCACTCGCTCTGTTTTGTTTTCACTGCGCGCGTGGATTATCGTCAGATCAATAAGATTATTCAATTGACAGTAGCCGAAAATACTACACAGTTTCTGCAGTGCAGCGGACTAAATTTTCGCTTTAAACCAGCTGCGAAGCACGAAAAAAGAGTATCAACATCATCACTACCTCCAATTCATTGAATACCAAAAAGAATTCAATAGACAAGATTACTGGGATTTCATAGCCGAGAGAGAAATGAGGCAGTGTAGAGCGAGCAAATGGCGCGCAGGAGAAGCAAGGAGCAATCCAGAAGCGTGCAGCATTTGACCCGTGATCTGTCCCGCTCTTTGTGATGGGTATTTAAGCGTGTAAAATTGTAATATTCAGTGTATATGTTTCGTCTCAACGTTATCGTCGAGTGCGTCCTACATATATCGTCGTGTGTCCCCTAGTGTTCAACGTTATCGTCCCGTGTCTTCAGTATTCCGGATCGCTGGCATTCACTGTGCCCTACGTTTCGCGTCCGGAGGTCCAGTGCAGCAGTGTGGTGCTGCAATTCCGTTATTAGCA